CCACTGATATGGGGCTGGATGGGACCGTCGGAGCTGCTCTCACCCTGCCCTGCTGTCCTGGCAGAACATCGCCGGGATGCTGGGGCTGGGCAGGAGCCCGGAGAAGGCAGCAGACGATGACTTGAAGCATGCCTACGATGCCGTGCAGGTTGCCAACAAGTGAGTGGGGGCACAGGGAGGGTCTGGCTGGGGCTGGGTTCCCTGCAGTGGGGTGCTGCTGGGGGGCTCCCTGCTGTCCTGGCCGGCTGCAGCCACCTCACTGGTGCAGTGCTGTGGTGCTGGGCAGCTCCAAACCTCTAAAGCAGCCATCTCCCCACCTGCATCCTCAGCTCCTCTTCCCTGCTGTGCTGCATCCTCCTGGGAGGCTGGAGCTCCCCAGAATGGGTGCCCCCACCCCACAAGCTTGCTGGGTGCCCCCAGCTGGCCTTGGTGCATCCAGAGGGAAGATCAGGGTGGGGGAAAGTCCCAAGCTTGCAGGCTTTGTGAGGGACAAATGACACCCTGAGGGATGGGGTGTGATGATTCACAGCTCCATGGAGTGGTTTGGGTTGGAAGGGACCTCGAAGCCCACCCCGTCCCACCCCTGCCATGGGCACGACCCCCCCAGGCTGCCCAGGCTGCCCCCAGCCCCATCCAGCCTGGCCTTGGGCACTGCCAGGGATGGGGCACCCACAGCTCCTCGGGGCAGCCTCAGCCAGGGCCTCACCGCCCTCAGAGGGAAGAATTTCTTCCTAACAGCTCATCTGAACCTACCCTCTTAGTTTAAATCCCTTACCCCTTGTCATATTAGTACACGCCCTTGTGAAAAAATCTCTCTTACAAGTCCCCTTCGGGCCCAGGCAGGCTGCTGTGAGATCTCCCCAGAGCCTTCTCTTCTCCAGGCGGAGCACCCCCAGGTCTCCCAGCCTGTCCTCATAGCAGAGCTGCTCCGTCCCCTGAGCATCCCCATGGCCTCCTCTGGACTCCCTGACCCTGTGCTCCAGGTGGGGTCCCACAGGGGCAGAGCAGAGGGGCACGATCCCCTCCTCACCCCAGCCAGGGTGCCGCTGGCTTCCTGGGCTGTGAGCAGGCGCTGCTGGTTCGTGTCCTATTTCCCACCCACCAGTACCCCAAGCCCTTCTCCACGGGGCTGCTCTCCATCCCTTTGTCCTGTGCTGATGCCTGGGACTGCCCCGACCCAGATGCAGTGCCCTGCGTGTGGCCTCGTTGGTCTGCACGAGGTTCCCGTGGGCACACTATCTGAGCCCTGCTGGGTCCCCTCCTCCTGGGTCTGCACCCCTCAGTGGGGCGCACGGGCATGCTGAGGGTGCCCTCGACCCCGCTGTGTGTCAGTGACAGTGATAATGACAGCACGGGTCCCAGGGCAGGCCAGGCAGGCGACACCGGCCTGGCTCGGTGACTCGGGTTCCCCCGGCGCACGCAGGCTGCTGGCGAGCCAGCTGCAGGAGGAGAAGCAGCAGCACGAGGAGGAGGTGGAGGGGCTGCACCTCGACATCCGCTCGCTCAAGCAGCTGAGCCAGCAGCAGGCAGCCCTCATCCAGGACCTGCAGCGGCACCAGGGCCAGGAGGGGCTGCAGCACCACGTCGTGCGGCTCAAGGAGGAGAATTGGGTAAGGGGGGGGGGGGCACAGGGCTCAGGCAGCTCCCCCCGCCCCATAGTGAGCCCCAGCATCCCACTGGGGAGCGATGCAGGGGACCCAAGGACATCCCCCAGCTCCGTACCCCATGAGCTGGGTGCTGGTGGGGGTGGCTGAGCCCTACAAGAGCTGTCCCTGCCCAGGAGCTGTCCCAGAAGCTGGAGAAGCAGGAGAGGACCACCATGAAGCTCCAGAAGCAGCTCAGAGCCTATGCGAAGCAGATCCAGGACTTCACAGGTGAGTGCCTGCATGGGGAGGGGGGGCAGGCTGGTTTGGGGCTGCTGTCCCACCCAGCCTCAAGGTGTGGGGACCAGGGCACCTCCAAACCCCGTGGAGCTCTTCTTGGGCTGAGCCGAAGGGACGTGCTCCGGGTCCCCCAGCCCAGGGCACAGCAGGACGTGACCCCCCCCTGCTCCTCCCCACCAGTGAAGAGAGAGACCACCGGGCTGGGGCAGGAGCCAGCAGCGTCCCAAGCAGCCCCATCCCCACCGGGGCTGTCCCAGGCCATGCTGGCGTGGAGGATGGAGGACGAAGGGCGCATCATCAAGGCCGTCATCACAGGTAGGGTTTGGGTGGATGGGGACCCCGTTACCCAACGGAGCAGCTTGCTCCCTACTAGGGTTTCTTCCCCAAAAGATGGTCTCATCCCTCCCACCTTGCTGGGGCAGCATCCTGCCCCCTTCAGCTCTCTGTGAGTGCCTGTCCCCTGCTCCCCCCCCCCCCGCAGACTACCGCCCGCAGAGCAGCCCTGGGGTGCTGCCAGAGCTGCCGGCCTTCCTCCTCTTCCTCTGCCTCCGCCACGCGGACCACTGCCGTGACGAGCCACGGGCCCGCTCCCTGCTGGATGCAGCCATCAACGCCATCAAGAGGGTGATGAAGGTGCTGGGCCTGGCCCCCGGGGGGGGATTTGGGCTGAGGAGCAGGAGCTCTGCTGGCCAACGTGGGGAGGGGGCACTGGGGCTGCAGCCTGGTCCCCAGGGCTTTGTGTGGTGGAGCTGGGGAGCCCAACCTGAGCATCCCCTGGGGCTGGGGGGGGGCTTGGAGAAAGCGTGGGGTGGGGGTGCTTGCTGCTGGCACTGCTGGAGCCTCGCTGACCCCCCCGCTGTGCTCACTTCCCCCCCCCTTGCAGAAGCACAGCGATGACTTTGAGGTTGTGGCTCTCTGGCTGGCAAACACCTGCCAGCTTCTGAACTGCCTGCGCCAGTACGGCCGGGATGAGGTGAGGTTGGGCTGGGGGGGGGGGGGGGGGACATCACGCCCCTACACCCTTCCCTGGGAAGTGTGGGGGCTGTGGGGACTTTGGAAAGGGGGCAGTGAAGCTTGCCCAGGGCTGGGGCTGCATCCCAAGCATCCCAACCTGGGTGTGCACAGGGCTGTAGAGGGATGGAGCCGATGCGCTCATCCCCCAGGAGGGATGGGGGGGGTACCCCGTATTTCTTTATTTTTATTTTTTGTCCTCCCTGACCTGGCCATGCCCGCAGAGCTGCTCCCAGGGGAACACGGCACGGCAGAGCACACACCGCCTGCAGCACCTGGACCTGCAGAGCGCCGGCCGCAGCCTGGGCGCCTTGGCCGTGCAGCTCTACCAGCAGCTCGTCCGCACCGCCGAGAAGCGCCTCAAGCCCATGATCGGTACCCAGGGGGCTCGGGGAATTGGGGCTGGGGGCCTCGCAGGGCCCCTGTGCTGGGATGCTGGCTTGGGGAGGGGAGCGCTGCAGGAGCAGCCTGTGGTGTGCCCGGAGCTGGGCTTGGAATTGGGTCTCTGTGGGGTCCCGCTGCTCCCCGAGCCTCCCAGCTTGGCAGGGGGAGCTGGAGGGGGCTCAGCACCCCTGGGTAGCCCTGGGGGGCTCCCTCACCCCCATGCTCCACCAGTTCCTCTGTCCCCAACCACAATTCAGAGCAAAGCACATCGCAGCACCTCTTTACTCTGACCAACCTTTTTTTTTTTTTCTCTTTTTTTCTTCCTAACCCTCCAGTTTCCGCAATGCTGGAGAGCGAAACCATCCAGGGCTTGGCCTCCTCCTGCCCTCCCGGCCTCCACCGGCCCTCGGCCCCCGGAGCCCACACCCTGCCCGAGCTCCTGCAGCAGCTGGGCTCCTTCCTCCAGCTCCTGGCTCGCCAGGGGCTGTCCCCAGCCGTGGGCCACCAGGTCCTGCGCCAGCTCCTCTTCCTCGTCAGCGGCACCACCCTCAACTACCTGCTGCTGAGGAAGGACGCCTGCTCCTGGACCCGCGGCATCCAGCTCAGGTTGGTCCCCCCACGGGCTCGTAGCGCATTTTTGGGGGGTCGGGACGCGGTGGGTGCATCCCCCTGACCCCCCTTTGTCACGGCAGGTACAACATCAGCCAGCTGGAGCAGTGGCTGCGGGCGCAGGGGCTGCAGCACAGCGGAGCCCGCGAGATGCTGGAGCCGCTGGTGCAGGCTGCCCAGCTGCTGCAGGTGAAGAAGGCGACGGAGGAGGATGCCGGGGCCATCTGCAGCCTCTGCACAGTGCTGTCCCCGCAGCAGGTACCCGGGGGGGGAATTGGGGTCACCCCCTGGGGCTGGGATCTGGGGCAGGGGGGTCACAGAGCTCCCCTGATGTCCCTTCCAGGTCGTGAAGATCCTGCGTGCGTACACCCCCGCTGCGGGGCTGGAGGAGCGCGTGAGCCCCGACTTCATCAGCAGCGTGGAGGTAAGCGGGGACCTCACCCCCAGGGCTCTGTCCCAATTTTGTTGTCCCCATTTTGCCACCCGGTGCCGTGTCCCTTTGCAGAAAGCGACTGCAGGAGCAGCAGCAGGGGGGGCCCAGCCAGCTGCTGGTGGACACCAGCCACCTCTTCCCCGTCAACCTGCCCTTCGTTCGCCTCCCCTGTGCACCTGGATGAGATCCGCATCCCCGACACCATGGACCTGGCCTTCCTCCTGCGCCTCTGAGCCCCCTCTGACCCCCCCCAGGAGCAGGAGGACGGCGGAGATTTGGGGTTTGCTGCGCCGCGTGGTGCCCCCCTGGGGGCTGCTTGTTGCTGAGACCCGCGGGTGCTTTGTTTTGTGGGGCAGCCACATCTGTTCTGGCCACTCTTTTAATCCTTTTGGTGCTAATAAAAGTCTTTGCAGATAATTTGGGTGTCTGAGGTTGGCTGTGGGCATGCGCGCTTTGCAGGGTGGGGGTGGTTGGAGATTGGGAGGGGGGTGTTTAGGGTCTGCCCCAGTCCCCTTTAACCCCTGGGATGAATTTTGGCCTTTACATGGGGTGGGAAGAGCAAATCCTGAGCATCCCTGGGGTCCTTATCCTTGGGGTTGAGCTTAAAGGGGGGGGGGCAGTGGGGATGGGGACCCCCTGGGTGCCTGCTCCTCCCTCCCCCAACACCCGCTAGCCCCAGCCAAGGGTGTGCTTTTTAATGTCAGTTATAATAAAATATTTTTACAGAGCCCAAAAAAGTCAAAATAGTGCAAAACATCTCACGGTCATGCATCCATGGTAGCCCCCCGGCGGGGGGAGGTACAGACACAGGGACATCGGTGACACGGGTACAGGAGCGGGGTGGGCGGTTCAATCACATGCCAAACAGGACTGGGGGGGGAGGGGGCACATTTTTTTTTTTGGGGGGGGGGGGGAGAATGGGGCTTGGCCCCCCCCGGGAGCAGCAGTTAGAAAAGGGGTGTAAACATTGAACAGAAATGAGTGGATACCTAAACCCTTTGGTCCCAGGCAAATCCTATAGAAAAAGGACTGGGAGGGGGGGCTGGGTTACCCTGTTTTGGGGTGGGGAGGGGGCTGAGAGGTATATATTGACCTGGGGGGGCTTCAGGCTTCTGTCCCCCCTGGTGCTGAGGGGTGGCCGTCCCTCTCAGCACGGGGGGGGACGCTGTGCTCCCTATCCACCCCCCCGAGACACGCACACCACTGATCACACAGAAATGGTGGTTAATGGGGAATATGGGGGGGGGTCCTATTGGGGAGGGGGCCAAGGGTCTTGCTTGTGCCAAAGAGGTCCCATGGGGGCTGCTGCAGAGACCTTGTGCCACATGGGGGGGGTTGGGGGTGGGCAGTCCCTGCTCACCAGAGCCAAGGGAGATGGGTGCCCCCCCCAGCCCGTGGGAGGGGGGTGCCCCCCACCCTGGCACCCTGGGGGGGGGGGGCAGCGGGGCCACCCGCACGGCGGCCAGGCAGGGAAGACAGGATAGGGGCCGGGGGCTGCTCCCTGCTGCTCCCGGCCCTGGTGGTGCCACCGCCGGCTGGGGGGGGGACCCTGTGGTGGGGGCTGTGCCCACTGGCCCCCCAGCCCCTATAGCCCTTCGGGGTGCGGGACACGGCCGTGTCCTGCTGCCCCGTGTATGTACAGCTATTTACATATGTACAGGGTGCTGGGGGGGGGGGGGGCCCTGCCCCTGGTAACACCGGGTGGGGGACAAGGGATCATCACGCTGGGAAGACCCCCCCCCAACCTCTCACCCCCCCCATCCCAGTGCTTCCCTTGTGTCACTCGATGAGGTTTAGGGCCGGGTGGGGTGGGGATGGGGCACGAGGGTCCCTCCAGCCCAGGCTGGGAAGGGGCAGAGCCCCCCCCATCAGCCCAGCTTGGGGTCCAGCCCCCCCAGCCCCATCGGGGTGGGACGGGGGGGTGCTCGTGCTCAGCGCTACCACCCAGGGGAGGGACGAGGGGGGGGTCCAACACTGCCCAAAAACACCGGGCGCCTCCTCTCGTGGCCGCTCTTATGGCTTATACGTGGCTGGAGGGCGCAGGGCTGGGAGGGGGGGGGGGGGACAAAATGGGTGGGTGGGGGGGGGGATTTAACTGCTGCCCTCCTCGGCCGAGCGCGTGTCGGACTTGAGCTTGACGAACTCCTTGGCCACCTCGTCGTTGTTGCGCTGGGAGAGGATGCGCAGCACGGTGAGCCCGGTGTCGTCCATGTGGATGCGGCGGCCCAGGGGCAGCCAGCAGGCGCAGCTGGCGCGCTGCAGGACGTCGCGGCAGCTGCAGCACGGCGATGCCCACCGTGCGGTCCTCCCGCGCGAAGCAGTAATCCTTCACGCACACCTGCAGCTCGTAGCACTCGGGGCCCGTCTCCGTCCCCAGGGTGCTGCAGGAAGGGGGGGGGGGACACAAGGGACAGGTGGCGTTGGCACAGGGAGGGGGCTCCGAGATAGCGGCGCATGTGGGCGCTGCGCGCCTGCCCCCCAAAAATCCATTTTTTTTTTGCTTTTGTTTTTCCTGCTTTCCCTGTGTAGTTTTTGCCAAGGTGAAAATGCCCCAAATATCCCAGTGGGGATGAGCAAACGCAGCTGAAGCTCAGCTGGGTGGTGGTGTCCCCAACCCTGTGTCCCCATCTCCATGTCCCCAGGGGTCCTCATCCCCATGTCCCCATCCCCGTGTCCCCCTCCCTGTGTCCCCAGGGGTCCCCATCCCTGTGTCCCAAGCCCTGTGTCCCCATCCCTGTGTCCCCAGCAGTCCCCATTCCTGGATCCTCATCCCCATGTCCCCATCCCCGTGTCCCCCTCCCTGTGTCCCCAGGGGACCCCATCCCCGTGTCCCAAGCACTGTGTCCCCATCTCTGTGTCCCCAGGGGTCCCCATTCCTAGGTCCTCATCCCCATGTCCCCATCCCTGTATCCCCAGGGGTCTCCATCACCATGTCTCCAGTGGTTCCCATCCCCGTGTCCCCCTCCCCGTGTCCCCATCCCCGGGGGCCGCCACTCACAACTGGAAGCTCTCGTTGTACTTGGGGGCCCAGCTGTTGTTCTTGGACTTGGTGGCGAATTTCCTCTTCTTGTCGCTGAGGTGGGGCCCGATGATGTTGACCTCGATGAAGGGACGGAAGATGCCCGACGTCTGCCACTTCAGGTCGTTGGCGGCCACCACTGCGTGCAGGAGGGGCGGGAGGCTCACGGGGTGCCACCACCCTCCCCCGGGTCCCCTGCCACCCCCCCCCAGTCCCCTGCCCCCCAGGCCACCGGCACCCACCTTTAACGGTGACTTTGTGTTCTCCGGTGCCGGGGTGCGTGAAGAGCTCCACGTGGATGGACACCTCCCCGACGGGGTCATCCACGCCAGAGCCTGCGTGGCCGAGGGGGGGGGCAGCGTGAGTGCCAGCACCCCCCCCCATGTCCTCAGTGTCCCCTGCCTGCCACCCACCCTGCTGGAGGAGGCAGGTCACCGCCACCGGGTGGGGACAGCCAGGGTAGGTCCCCATGTTGGTCCCCATGTGGGGACAGGCTGGGTCACTGCTGTCCCCCCCCAATCTGTGGGTCCTGGGCCCCAGCCCCTTGCCCAGATGGGGCAGAGGTGGGATGGGGCGGGGGTGCCTGGGGGCTGGGGGGGGGTCAGTGCTCCAGGGGACCTGTCCCAGCCCCTGTGCCACCACCAGGGCCAGCAGTGGCCCCACGTTGCCCCTCTGTCTCGGGGACCACATCGAGTCCCGGGGATTTGGTGACCTGCAACCCCCCCACCCCACCCCCTGAGCCGTGCATGCACCCATGGGTGAAGGAGTGGGGGGGTGCAAGGCGAAGTGGGGGGGCCAGGCTCGGTGGGGCAAGGCAGGCTCAGGGCATCCGACCGAGCTGGTGGGAAGGAAATCAGAGCGAGAAGGACACGTCCCCGGGTGTCACAGCACGGTGCGGGGGGGCACAGCGCTGCGGCCATGCCACGCTCCAGCCTCCATCCTCTGCCCCCCCCCCAGCCCCCCCCGTCCCCACGGGCACCCCTGCCTGGGCAGTGCCGCATGCTGAGCCGGAATGGAGGCGATGGAGGGCGAAGGGTGGGGGGGCTGGGTGCAGGAGGCCAAGCAGGGGGGGTGCAGACCCGGCCCCCCCACCCCGGCGGTGTGCGATGGAGGCCAAGCGGGGCCCGGGGGGGGGCTGTGCTCATTCCTCGAGGGGGGGGCTCGCCGGAGCAAGGCTAGTAATGGTCCTTCTGGCAGCTGGGGTGGGGGGGCACGGGGGTGGCCACGGGTGGTGGCGGGTGCCCCCCCCCAGCAGCAGCTCTGGGGACACCTGTGGGGGCGCCCCGAGCTCAGGAGTGAAGGTGAGCACCGGCACCCCCAGCTGCGGTGACGGGGAGGGGGCTGAGCGCCCCCAAATTCCTCCCGATTCAGCCCAAAGCGGCTGCGCTCCGTTGGGGCGGGGGTGGGGGCACAGATCTTGGCGTGGGGGGGGGACGGGGACGGTTACTAGCCCAGGCCGGCGGCTGCAGGCAGGGTGCTGGGGCGGGCGAGCGGTGCACCTACCCTTCTCAGGATAAATCTCTTCACTAAGGGTAAACCTAACACCTTTTCCACCATGAACTGGGGGGAAGGAGAGAGAGAGACGGAGACACGGCACGGAGCGGACGGAGAGAGGAGAAGGAGACAACGTGCGAGGGGGGGGGACAGCAAAAGGAAAAGGGAAAGGAAGGAAAGGGAAAGGGAAAGGGAAATGGAAAGGAAAGGAAAAGGAAAAGGAAAAGGAAAAGGAAAGGAAAAGGAAAAGGAACAGGAAAAGGAAAAGGAAAGGAAAGGAAAAGGAAAAGGAAAAGGAAAAGGAAAAGGAAAAGGAAAAGGAAAGGAAAGGAAAAGGAAAGGAAGGAGGAGGGGGGAACAGAAAGAGAGAGAAAGAGAGATCAGATCGGGCAGACAGACGCACGGCCCACAGCCGGACGACACTGCAGCGACACGGAGGCGCCAGGCACCACCCCGGCACCCGGGGGTGCTGCGGGCACCCGTGGGACCCCGCCGGCCCCCGGACAGCTGGCACAGGAGGCACAGACAGACGGACGGACGGACAGGATGTCCCTTGGGGACACGCACAGACAGCACACGCACGCCCCGGGGGCGCAGACAAGCCTGGCACCGGGGCCACGCTGCTCTTCCTGGGGGGGGGGGATGAGGTTGCCCCGGGCACCCCACGGCCCCTCGTTATCCACAGAACTCATCCAACCCTCCCCAGCCTCACGCCCGCAGCCTCCGGGACCCCGGCACCACCAGGAGGGGGTCAGGACACGGCCCTGGGAGGGGTGGGAGGGGGAGAAGCAGGCCGGGGGGGTGTGGGGGGGCCCTACCTTGTGAGGACTGGGTCTGCACGAAGGTTTTGATCAGGAGGTCGGTGGCTTGGGTGTAGAGGGACAGGGCGTAGCGCAGCGACTGCAGGTCGGGGCTCTTCTCCAGGAAGGTTTTCTTCAGCCCCACGCCACCAGCATGGAAATATTGCTGCAGGGACGGACGGCCATGGGGTGGGGGCTCTGCTTGCTGCCCCCCCCCTCCCCACACCCCCCCACGGGCACCCCTCCATCTCCGCGTTGCGCCCCAGGGTGCCCTCACCTTGATGGTGTCCAGGGCCAGCTCCACCACGGCGCACTGCTTCGGGGTCAGGCTCTTGGCTTCCTCCCGCACCATGTGGTCCTGCCGGGGACAAACCCTGCCCTCAGAGCGGGGCCAGCGGGACCCTACAAGGGGGACGGTGCCGCTCGCCCCGGCACCGAGAGGATCTGGGGCCCCCCCCAACCTCACCTTCAGCTTGGAGAGCTGCCCCAGCTCCTTGGCCGCGTTGAAGATCATCTGCGTGCCCTGCGGAGAGCAGAGAGAAGGGAACGGTGCCGGTGAGCGGCCGGGCTGCGAGGCTGGGTGCGCTGCTGCCTGGGGGCTCCCCGGCACCCCCAGGCTCCATGGGGGGGCTCCTCCGAGCCCTCTGGGCTTCCCCAAGAGCCCAGCACCCAGGGCACGGTGATGACAGGGCTCGGGGACACCAGGGCAGGGTGTCCCCCTGGAGCCAGGCACCGCACGCCCTGGGGTCCCAGCCTGCTCCCCAAGCACCCGCGGCCGTGTCCCCGAGCACCGGGCACTGCTGGCACCGCAGGGACGAGATGGGACAGAGAGAGTGCAGGGGGACAGCGGTGGCACCTGGCACCGTCCCCCTGTGCCCCATGGTGCTGGTATCGAGGCCGCATGGCACCCTCTGCCCCCCCAGTCAGGGGACACCACGGCTCGGTGTCACCGGTCCCCACGGTGCCGGTCCCCAGCTGCCCCGCACCGTGCCGCCCCCATGGATGGGGACACGACGCCGTCCCACGGGCAGCACCAGCACGGCCCCAGGGGGTGCAGCCCCACAGGCATTGGGGGGGGGGGGTGTCACCCACCCCCGGGGCTGCACCCGCTCATCAGGCTGAGCCCCAGCTCCCCGTCCCAGGCCCTCCAGTGTGCAACTGGGCAAACTGGGACAGAGCCAGCGAGGCCCGGCTCCTCCCAGCACCAGCAGCTCCAGTCCTTCCCAGCAGTGGGACCCCCACGAACCGATGCCTTACACAAGGGTTTGGCCCCCCCACACCTTCATTTCGTAACATTCCCCCCCCCCCCCCCCCCAGACCCCAAATTAACCTTTTGTGGCCCCAACTCCTGCCCCGTTAACCCTTCCCTTGCTGGCCCCGTTCCCCAGCCGGTGAGCAGCACAGGGATGCGGCTGTCAAACGGAGCCCGACGGGACACGGCACAGAGCTGGGACCCCCATGGGGCACGGTACAGAGCCGGGACCCCCCCACCCCCCCACCCCCCCACCCCACAGCGCACTGGGACAAGGCCGGGGAGCAGAGGAGCCGTGTCCTTACAGTGTGACCGGGCAGCTTCACCCTGCTCTGAGGAGAACAGCGAGGGGACAGTCACAGCGGGCAGCCTGCGCTGAGCGTGCCGGGTCTCGTCCCTACTAGGGGGGGGGGTCCTCGCTCCCTGCAGGCCCCCCATGGCTGGGGAATTGTGGTCAGTGGAGGAACGCAGCGGGGCAGGACCTGGGGGTCCCCTGAGTCACAGCATGGGGACAGCGGGGCCGGGCACCACGGCATCGCCCCGCAGGGGTGCCGGTGTGGCTCTTTGGGGTACCTGGGGCTGGGGGGGGGGGGGGGGATGTTGGGGGCCGTGCTGGCCCCCAGCCTGGCAGGTGGGGAGCACCTGGGTGGAGGGAGCGCCAGCCTGCCTGCTCTGCCTGCAGAAACGCTTTTGGGAGGGTTGTGAAGCTCGGTGAGCAGTTGCTGCTCCCCCAGGTATGGGGATTGGGGGGGGGGGGGCAGAGATCCAGGGGATCCCAGCAGCCCCCTGACCCCCCCAGCATGGCCCAGAGCCCCGTTCCCGAGGCCAGCATCACTAGGGACAGGCTCATGCCCAGGCTTCCCTCGTGCTCACACATCCCGTACCCCAGGCAGGATGCTGAGCCCCCCCCAGGCCCATCTCCATGGGGCAGCGTCCCCCACGCCTGCCTGGGATGGGAAACACCCCCCCCACACACACACACATGGAGGCTGGGGGGGGGGACACACGGCACAACCCCACCCCGTAACACACAGACACGGGTCACGGCCCCAATCCCACACATGTCCTGGACAACACGGCACAGCGCGACACCACAGCACGCCACAGCCAGACAGCACGACAGAGGAAGCACGGACAGGCCCCGGGGGGGGGGCACCGGGGGGGGGGCCACCAGGGTGGCCCCCGGGGCGAGGACACACACGGAGCCCACGGGCTATTTACCTTCTCTGTCCCCTTGCCATGTTTTCTCAAAAGCGTGCCCTGTAGAAGCAATGTCAGAGGTTGAGCGGTGGGGGGGGAGCAGCGTGGGATGGGGCGGGGGGGCGGGGGTGGATGTGAGGAGTGGGAGCCGCAGGCTGGAGGCGAGGGCATCGCTGAGCTCCTAAGGGGTGGGGGGCACTGGTCCCTCTGGGATGCTGCTGGATGCTGCGCTGGTGGGAGACTGGTCCCCACCCTGGGGTGCTGGGCTGGGGGTAACTGGTTCCTACTGGGACGCTGGGCCGGTGGAGGACTGGGTCCTGCTGGGATGCGGGGTCCCTGGGGGACTGGTCCTTGCTGGGATGCAGGTGCTGGGCTCAGAGGGAAGTGGACCCTGTGGGATGCCGGGGTCAGAGGGAACTGGTCCCCATGGGATATCGGGGTCAGGGAACTGGTCCCCATGGGATATCGGGGTCAGGGAACTGGTCCCCATGGGCTGCGGGGCAGCAGGAGCTGTGTGTGTGCAGCCCCCAGTGCCCCCCCGTTCCCTCCAGCACCGGTGGGTGCTCACAGCACGGGGGGGGCACACTCAGGGTGGGTGGGCACAGGCAGAGCTCTGGTCCCAGCGCTGGCCCCGTGCCCACGCCCCAAAAGGGATGGGGCCAACAGCGGGGTCACACGGTGGGGGTCAGGAGCAGCCTCCTGGGGGGGGCTGGAGCACGTCTAAATGAGGAGGGGGCAGCAGAAGGGGTGAGAGAGCCTGCGGGGGGGGGGTGGGGGAGCAGGGGGATGAGGGGTGAGGCGGGGGGGGGGAGCAGCACAGTTGGGCCAAGCAGGGCTACCAGGAGGGAAACTGAGGCACGGGGTGATGGGGGGGCAGGGGGACCTCGTGCCCCACAGATCTGGCACCACACAGACCCCCCCCCAGGGATGTGGGGTCAAGGGGGTCAGAGGGGACAGGCCCCAGTTCTCTCCAAATGTTGGAAATTAAAGGCAGGGGGGGGACACAGGGACGGGTGTTTGTCCCCGCAGGTCCGCACCCGGACGCACCCACGCTGCTGCTGCGCCTCCCATGCTCGAGGAGGGCTAAGGCCGGGGGGGGGGGATTTGGCCCTTCCCTTGCCCTGGACAGCCCCAAAAAAAGCAGACGAGGAAGGACTGGAGCTGCTCGCTCTGAGAACCAGCAGCAGCACCAAGAGAGGGAGCCACGAGTCCGGGCTCCGGTGCCGTGCCCGGGGAAAAGCCTCGCGCCCGCTGCCGGCCGCCTGCCCAGGACCTCGTGTCCCAGCACCGTGCTCCCCGCAGCCCTCACCACGGCCACAGCCCGGCCACGGGGAAACTGAGGCACGAGGGGTGTGCCCGGCACACGCCGCTCCCCCTGCTCCGGCTCCAGTGGCCCCCGGCCCCCCCGGCACGGAGCATGAAGTTGGGCTCAGCCCGGCCTCGGCTGCCCCGAACGCGTGGCACTGCCCCGGCTGCCCAGCACCGTCCCCTCCCCAGCCCTGAGCCTCGCACCCCCAAATCCAGGCACCCCAAAAGTGTCCAGGTTCTGTTCCCCCCCCACACTAAAAACCCAGCTGGGGCCGGTGCCAAGCGGGCAGCGAGAGGACGGGGACCGGCGGGGGGCACAGGAGGCCGGAGGAGGGCGCGGGCAGGGCGCGGGCAGCCACACGAGACGGGAACCGGCGAGGCCAGGACCGACACAGAGCGGACAGACAGACAGACAGACAGGGAGCTGCCGTACTTACAATCATCTGCCATTGAGGGGCGAGCGGAGCAATTGGAGAGAACAACCATGGCGTGAGTGTTGGCCCCCTCCTCCGTGTCCCCCACCCCAGGTGCCAGCCCCGGCCGCCCCCTCCCCGGGGCGAGGGTCCGGGGGCGTCCCCCACCAGCCGTGCCGCAGTGTCGATACCCTGCTGTCAGCACCATGACCCCAGTCCCAACCCACCCCATGTCTTCCCTGCAGCAGCGGGGGGGCTCTTTTGAGGGGACCCGGCTCCAACACGCAGCCCTGCGCCCCCCCCGGGTGGGCAGAGCCCTGCTATAGGGACCAGCCTCACACCTCCGAGGGCTGCCTCAGCCTTGCAAAAAATCACCCAGGGGGGGCTTTCAGCCACCTGCACGTCCCTGCCACCTCCCCTCGGCACAGGGCACGCTGCCACTGCGGCGTGGCGGAGCCATGTGTGGCTTGGAGGGACGGGGACCGGGATGGGGACCGAGAGCCGGTGGCACCGGCACAGCGCAAGAAGCCCCAGAGCAGTGACAAAACAGTGACAAAAGCCACCAAGAACGACAGGCTCAGCTCCGAGCCCTTGGTGGCACCCAAGGGGGGACTTTCCCCAGTCCTGCCCGAGAGCCTGGGGGTGCCTCGCTGCGTGGGGGAGGACGGGCGCACAGCACGGTGACACGGAGCCTTGAAGCCTGCAGGAATCCTCCCCCCACAGAGGGACATTCCTGGGCTTCTCTGCCCCAGCCCCACGTCCCGCCCAGGCCTGCGCACCCCCAGCCCTTTGGCAAGGCTCCCCCCGCACCCCCAAATCTCCACAGTCCCCTCCTGACACAGGGCATGGAGCGCTGCCCCAGCGTGGAGGGGAGGAGGGGACGGGTCCCCCCTCCTGGTGCCACGATGGCACCAGGTGACAGTCTGTCGGTGAGGCCAGCCGAGCAGGCGCTGGCTTCATTGGGCACCCAGGTTAAGGGTGACCTTTCCCTCCTCCATCCTGTCCCCAGCCACGAGCTGGGGACACCTTTGGGGGTGCCACCGAAGCCTGCACCCCTCAAGAAGCCAGCGAGGGGGCCCTGGCACCGACGTCCCGCGTGGCCGCAGCTCCAGGGTCCCTGTCCCTGGTCCCCGTCCCTGTCACTCACCGTCTGGTCGGTGAGCGGGGGCAGGACGATGGTCTTCTCCATCGTGTTCATCACCAGCTTCCAGAGCTCCTTCAGCACCCGCTTCAGCACCGTCTTCTCGCAGATCTTGGCGAAGAGCGTCAGGCTGCAGAGAGGGGACGGGGCTGAAGGTCCCGGCACGGCCACCGCAGCCCTGCTGGTCCCCCCTGCTCCTGGGGTGGTTTGGGGACATCGGGGGGGGTCCCTGCGCACCCGTCCCCAACTCACTTGCTGTCCAGGAGGTCCATGATGGGCTGCAGGACGTTGTCAGCATCCTGCGCGACGCTGCTGCAGGTGCTGGCGGGGACGTTGCCGGTGCCCTTCACCTGGCCCAGGATGTCACCCATCTGCTTGACGCACTCCTCGATGTGCGGCTGGAAGCTGGGGACCGCAGCGCCCAGGAGGCTCAGCGTCCCCCCCGGTGGCACCACAGGGGGGCCCAGGCCCCCAACCCAGCCACCACCACGGCTCCCGGACCCCAGCCCCTGGCCCACCGCCCGCGCCCCTCACCTGGTGGCGAAGACTCGGCTCAGCTCATCCAGGACGTTGTTGAGTTTCACCTGCAGCTCCTTGAGGATGTCGCTGGCTTCGGTGTCCAGCTGGAGGGGGAACAGGTTGGAGAAGGCAGCAGGGCCCCCGGGGGGCTGCCTCTGCGCCCCAAACCCTGCCCGTCCGTGTCTGGTGTGGTGGGAGAGCAGGGTGGGACGGGGGGGGGTGACCCGTGCAGAAGCGAGGAGCTGGGACTGCTCCAGCGCTGTGGAGCCAGGGAAAAAGAACAGATCCGGCCCCTCTCTGTGGTGTCCCCCCCACCCCCCAAAGACCCCTGATACGCACCTCCTTCCCCCCCATGGCTTCAAACATCTTCTCCAGCTGGACGCGGAGCTGCTGGATGTTGTTCATCAGGATGCAGGGCTGGAGGGGCAGGATGGGGGGGTCAGCACCAGCACACGTGGCTGCAACAGCCCCCCGTGAGCTCCCCACCCCGCATGGGGGGCATCAGAGCCCCACAGCACCGAGCCCTGCAGTATTTTGGGGGCCACCATCGGGCACCAAGACCGAGGGCAGGCTGGTCACAGGGACCAGCTCTTGAGCTAGGTGACAGCCAGGGCCACCGCGCGGGGACAGCGGCGAGCAGCAGGAGATACGTCACCACTTTCTCCTTCTCCTTGGAGCAGTAGGAGGCGAAATCCTTGGAGATGATCTCGGCGTACTGCAGCAGCACGTTGCTGATGGTCTGCGGCCAGACAAGAGATGGAGACCGGCCCGGTGAGCGGCAAACAGAAGGAGGAAGGAGGAGAGAAGAAGACCATGAGGCCCACAGCAGCAAAGCAGCCCCCCCGGGCTGGGGTCCACAGCGGGACCCCCGGCCCCGTGGATGCGCCGGGAGCGTGGGCGCAGCCAGACCGAGCGCACCCGGTCCCTGCGGGCAGCTCCGTGCCGGTGCAGGAGGGAAGGCACCGGCTGCCGAGCCCGCCTGCAGCTCCCTCCCACTCTGCAGCGAGCCGGTGGCATTTAATTAATTGAGATTAATTAACTAATCAACGCATTCATTAGATAATGGCCCACGCTAGTGAAGCGGGGGGACACACGGGGTCTGGTGGTGGCACGTCCCCTGGAGCAGTGCGCATTTTGTGCTCCGCGGCTGGGTGGGAGGTGGCAGAGAGGGCACCGGGTTGGCACAGGGGGGGGCTGGGGTCCTGGGGGTGCTGGGACCCCCCGTGAGCTGCCCACCTTGGCAAACCTCCGCATGTAGTGCCCGACGATCTGCGGGTCGGGGCACTCCAGCTTCTTGATGATCTCAAAGCTCTGGTTGAGCTGGGAGAAGACGTCCACCACGGAGCAGGAGAAGAGCGCGTGCTCCGACGTCTGCTGGAACTGGGGGGCGAGAGGAAGGGTGAGCGGGCGGAGGGGACGAGGGATTTTGTCCCCAGTGGGGACACGCCAGGCACTGCCCCGCTGCAGCAGCCTGGGATGCTCCCGTGCCCATCGGCTGCCCCGTCCTTACCCCGTCCTTCTTGTCCCTCTCCAGCGCTCCGTGCAGGAAATCCCGCGACACCTCCTCGTTCTCATCCAGCCACTGGATAACGAAGGGCTCAAACCAGCTGGAGGAGACACATCCCCGGTGAGACCCGGCAACGTGGAGCCGTGAGCCCCCTGCCCGGCCCCCCACCCCCCCAGGGCTGCACTCACGCGGGGTACTCGGGCACGCGGCTCTTGAAGGAGGGCAGCTCGGTGACGTACTCGTTGTACAGCCACTTCACCTTGAAGTGCAGGTTCATGTAGTCCGCGCTCTTGCACAGGCGGTGCTTGTCGTGCTCTGCACGGGGAAGGCGAGAGCGCGGGGCGGTCGCTTCCAGCCCCAAACGCCGGCGGGGGAATTTGGGCAGCTCCAGGGATGCCAGGGGGATGGGGAGAAAATGGGAGTGCCTCTTGGGAGGGATTTAAGCTAGGAGTGGTTTTGATGAGGGGTGAAATGGGTTTGCCTATTTCTCCAGGGGAATATTTGAGGTGGCTCCTGCCCAGCGGGGGGGCACTCACCCTCCATCGCGTACTTCATGTCCTGCGCAAAGAGGTTCCACATCACCTCGGCGCTGATCTTCCCCACGTTCAGCTCCTGGGGGAACCTGGGGCAGGGGGGCAGCGTGGGCACAAGGTGCTCAGAGCGTGAGAAGGGGCCCCCGTGACTGCAGACCCAGCCCCCAGCCTCCTCCCCGCTGCCTCAGTTTCCCCAGCTGTGCAAGGGATGCTGCGCCCCACGTCCAGAGGACAAACCCAGCTTTGCTGGCACGTTGTGAGCATCCCCCCCGAGCGTCCCTTTCTTGGCAATAAATTAATTGGCGACTCACTGGTTCAGGCAGGGCGTGTAGGAGTTCTTGTCCTCTTCGATAATGGACACGATCAGGGTGATGAGCTTGGACCAGAAATCCAGGTTTTTGATGCTGGGCCCCTGCTCCTCGGGGGGCACCTCGCCCTTCTTGCTCTAGAGCAATGGGGACACAGCAGAGGCTCCGGTCACCCCTCTGCCCCATGGGACTCACTATTGAGGCGAGGCTCATGGGGAGCATCACGGGGGGAGAAGGGAAGGACGAGTGCAGGGGGGGTGATGGAGAAGGGCAGGGGATGGATGGAGGGGAGCACCGGGGTCCCTGCAGGACCACGCACCGGGTCCGTCTGGTACTCGCGGCTGTAGAGCTCGTGGCAGTTGTTGAAGATGTACTCGTAGGTGGAGTTGAGGCAGGCTTTCACGCAGTCCTTCACCACCTGGCTGGCTCGGGGAGGGCTCTGCAGCTCCTGGACCTGTGTGGGGAGGCAGCGGGGCTGCGGGCAGGGCCGGCAGCCGGGGAGCCCGGGCTCCAAAGCTGCAACTCCCGGGGGGGGCAAATACCTTCATCCGGAAAAAGGTGATGCTGGTCAGCAAATCCACCGTGGACTTGAGGTCCTGCAGCCGCTCGGGACTGCTGGCAGGGAAGTTATTCTGGGGGAGAAAAAAGAAGAGTTGGTGGCAAAAGAAGAGCTGCTGGCAGGACTCCATCTGGGGGGAGGTGAAAGCAGACCTTATTAAACATGAAAATGTCTAAAACTGGGGCTCGGCGGTGCCTTACCCGGTACATGGAGAGGTCGATGCGCAGCGAGTTGTGCAGCTGGTCGAGGAGTTTGACGAAACGCTCTTTCTGCGGAGAAAGCCCCGGGGCCAGGTGAACGGGGGGAGGAAGCGGGGGCCGCCCCCCTCCCCGCTGCGCCTGCCTCTGCGCCCCAGCCCGCTCGGCCCTGTCCTGCCGCCCTGCCTCCCCTCCTGCCTCCATCCCTGCCTTCCTTCCCTCCTGCCACCACCACCACGCTGTGCCTGGGCGCTGGGGTGCCCACGGAGCACCCCGTGCTCTCCGGTGACTGGGGCTCGGTGGCAGCACTCGGTGGCTCCGGGGCACGCGTGGCCCCTGCAGAGTGGGGACCCCTCGGTGCAGGACCGAGAGGCAGGAGAATGCATCCCCTCAGCTCCTGCAGTGCTGGAGGGGGAACGGGGGGACCCCTGCCCTGCCCACTCGGGTGCCTCCAAGCCTGGGCTTGAGGCAGGAGCATGGAGGGGGCTGCAGCATCGCACCTCCAGGTGCACAGCGCCGGGAACGAAGCCTTCGGAGAGCTCAGGACAAAAGGGCATGGGGAGAGCAGCCGTGCTGGGGCTGCGTTTTCCCAGCTTTGGGGATGAGCTGCTTCAGGACAAAGCAAGGCTGCTGGAGACAGAGTGTTGTTGGACAAAGCAGGGGGTGGGTGCTCTGAGGGCTCCTTGCTTCCCTGCCCAGGCTGCTTGGAGAGGAAACGCCGTGGGCTGACGGTCTTTGGGGATGAGAGGCTTGAACTCAGCTCCCAACCACTGAGCATGGGGTGAAGGGACGTGAACCTCACATCGGGTGGCAAATCAGGCACATGAGATGGAGGCAAAGCAACTGGGAGGCACTGTGCTGTGCCCCTGTGCTGGGGTTGGGTGGGGAGGGGTTGGACACCCCCACGTCGGCTGTGATGGAGCCGGGGCTATCCCAGGACCTGGCATCCCCCTGCCTCCAAGTGGGGCCGGGGACGAGTCCCACGTCCACCTGGCCACGGCTCGGCCGAGCCTGCAGCCTGCGCTGGCGCCCGCAAACCTTCGGAGTGCCAGAGACAGCAACGGCCCCCGGCACCGAGCGGCTGCAGCGCGCTTAAAACCGGACACGCTGGCACTCGGGGATAAAGCGACACGGCCGGGCACTTTAGGACCCAACCTTAGGCTCTCTAAAAAAAGAGAAAGAAACAAGTTTTTAAAACCCTCCACGTCAGAGAAAAGGTTTGTCGTGTGGTCTCCTCCTTCCGCACGGCCCTGCGGCACGGCTCGCTCGGCTCTCGCTATCCCATCCCTCGCTACCCAGCGCTTCGCCCTAACCGGGGCTGGGCTCCGACCCCGCAGCGCCCGCGTGCACCCAGGGGAGACGCGGGGGCAGCCGGGGTGAGAGCGCAGCCCCCTCCTCACCCGCGTCCCCACGGGCGCACCCAGTCCCGGCGCAAACTCAGCCCCGATCAGCGAGGCACCCATGGGTGCTGGCACAGCCGGGCGAGTTTGCGGTGGTCTGGGCTCGCACCCGATGCGTGCAGGGCTGTGCAAAGCTCCCGGCCAGCTTTGGCACCGAGGGTGCACGGCGTGTTGCCATCCCAGCCGGCCCTGACTTCAAGCCAGCTTTCACCATAATCATTTTGGGAGAGAATTTAGACCTTCTCCTAGGAAGGTGGTGGCTCATTTCCTTCCCCCAAAATGGGAGAGGGATGAATCTGGGAGCAAGCGGGGGCCAATATCCCGCTGTCCAGCTGCCGTTGGGTGGGGAGCTGCCTTGCACGGCCCTTTTCGCCCCCTTTTTGCCCCCCCGCCCCCCATCCCCAGAGAAAAGAGAAGAAGAAGGAAGGAGTGTTTACGCACCATCGGACTTACCCCGAAATTGGAAGCGGCAAAGCGGTCGGAGGCCGAGACGTTGGTGGAGGCGGTGGTGTGGGCGTAGTAGGCGTTGATGTTGGCGAGCAGGGTGCTCATCACCGCCGGCACCCCCGGGCACATGTACTTGGAGGAGAGGCAGGCAAAATGCCTGGCGGGGAGAGGAGCGAGGTGAGGGCGCTGGGTGCCGCGGGGCTCGGGGTGCTCATGGAGAAGGAGGTGGCAAGCAGGGTGGGTGCGTGTCCCCATGGTGAGGGGGGGAGCACAAACAGCAGCATGTGGGGAGGACAAGGGCCAGGAGTGACACCAGGGGCAAGGAACTCACGTCATGGCCTGGTAGATGGACTCCACCCCGTAGCGCATGGCAAACTCATCCACGATCTCCTGCGCCGTCTCGTCAAAGTACACCTTCCAGGCGTCATCCCCCTTGGCATCGGGGATCTTCACCACGCCGTTGTTTTGCAAATCCGTCACGAAGTGGAAAAGGTTCTGGGGGCACACACACGAGTCCCATCAGGTCCCCGGGCCCGGCGGTGGCACGGCGGGGACCGGCGCGCTGCGGTGCGGAGACGTGGTCCGTGCGTGGCTCACCTCGTGCAGGCACGTGTACTGCACGTGGTAGGGAGCCACCTTCTCCTCGCCCTTGATCTCCACGCTGATGTGCAGCCGGATGGCTCCCGACACCGCCGATTTGTCCGTCCGCTTGTCTGGAGGGCACAGAGAGTGGGGTGAGGAGTGAGCCCCCTGGAGCCACTCTGTTCACCCCCATCCTGTAACGGCTCCATCGCAGAGGGTCCGAGTACAAAGCAACCGAGGCATCACGGAGAGGGATTCAACTGGATCCTCAGGTACTACAGGGACAGGGCCCCTCTCCGTGCCTCAGTTTCCCTGAGCGACCCCACGCAAACACTTGATCCCGATATCTAATGATGTTTTTAACAGCAGACCCCACACCAACAAGCCAAAAGCCCCCTTTGCGGCAGGGTGGGTGGCACACAGACAGCTGCTTACCCAGGTTGTACCAGACGTCCATCTCCCCGCTCAGCGTCCGCACCTCGATGATCGTCTGGCCCAGGAAGTCGTCGGACTCCCTCTTGAAGCGCTGCTTGACGCGGGACTTGATGTCGTCGTCTTCGTCCCAGACGCGGACCTTGATGCGGTCAGAGGAGTTATGGCACTCGCTGGGGGAGAGAGGGGCAAGGTGAGCAGGGAAACCCGGCCTCCAGTTCCCCAAAGCAGGGCTAGGGACAGCCCCGGCACCCAGCAGCACCCCCCCGTCCTCAGCTGGGGCAGGTCCCTGCCGCCCACCACCCAAACGGCCAGGGAGGGGCTGAAAGGGCCAGGGGCCAACTTACAAATGGAAATTCTCCTCCCAGACCGGGTTGAGATTGCCGTAGATAGTTTTAGTCCTTTTTTTTGTCTTTCCAACTTGGACGGTAACGTACGGGTCACTGGAGCCCGTCTTATCCTTTGCTTGCAGGCCCTGGGCACAAACGACTGCGGCACGGCACGGCACGGCACGGCACGGCACGGCACGTACACCCATCCACGCCAGGCACACGTGTGGCATAGCGGAGAGAACAGAGAGCAAAGTCAGTGCTGTGGCCACACCAAGGTCCCCGTGACGAGCACCCGATGTCACCCCAGTGTTATCCCACAGAGCCCCGGGGACCAAAGCCACTCTGCAGGACACGGAGGGCTGGCGCACAAAGCGTGGTTGTGCACGGGGACAGCCACATCTGCAGGGACAAGAGGTGTGTGGAGGGACAGCATGGCTCAGGGAGCACGTCTCCACTCTCGCCTCAAATGCTGTGGCTCTTAGAGGGATCAGGCAGGGGGGGCAGGAGCTGTGCCCACAGGGACACCCCTTGGAGGGCCGCAGGGTCCCCGCAGCGTGGGACACCAGGCGCAGCCGGTGCCCACCCGTGATGCTGATCTTGGCCGACCACTTGGAGGTGCCGTCCAGGACGCTCTGCTTCACCGCCTTCATCTGCTGCGTGTGCGTGGTCTTGGTGACCCCAAACACCTCCTGGATCAGCTCGAAGATCTCCGGCTTGTTGCGCTCCCGGATCTTCATGCGGTCTTTGAGCACCATGATGATGTTCTGGGTTCGGTCCTCTGCTCCGTGCTTGGAGCTCTTCTCCGCTGCCCCTGGGAGAGGACAGCAAGAGGTGGGATTGGGGGGGGACAGCCAGTGCCTGGGAAAGAGCCGAGACCTCCCCAAGCTCCCCACAATGAACAAATTCAAACCGGGAGGGGTTTACACCCTGCCCGGAGCAGCTCTGCCCTGCTCACCACCTCCCCACGCATGCAGCAGACCAGCTCCCAAATTGCTGCTCGCTCGCTCCGTGCCACCCCAAGGCGAGAAGGGCCGAGGCCACGGGCGGTGGCTCCTTACTCTGCAGGCAGTCGGCGTTGAGCAGGTCCTGGCACTTCTCGTGGCACTTGACGCCGCACTCGGCGCAGCGCATGCCCTGCCGGGCGATGCCCCAGAGCAGCCCCTCGCACTCGTAGCAGTAGGTGGGGGTGGTGGCCGTCCACACCTCGAAGTTGTGGGGCGTTGTGCAGGAGATGGGGTACACTAAGGCTTGCAGGGTCTTCTTGTAAACATGGTTTTTCTGGGCACGGAAGGGAGAGAGAGGGGGGAGAAGCTCACGCAGAGCCCCCAACCATGGCTGTCAGGCCACCAGCAGTGTCACCGCTGGATGGGGACGAGCTCAGCACCATGTGGAGCAGGCACGGGACAAATGCCACTGTCCCCAAACGTGGCTGCGAGCACGGTGGCTGCACTGTCACTGCCGGAGGATGGCATGCGTGGACCCCGCGTCCCCGTCACTGTCAGCGCCCCGAGCCCCATCCCGCCCGGCACCTACCAGCTCCTCGTTGTTTAAGGTGCTTGAGGCCAGCGCGGACGTGATTCCGGCTTTCCTGGACTGGACCAAGGACTGTGGGAAAGAAACAGAGACCCCAGATCCAGCACGGCCCCTCACCGTGGGTCCGAGACCCCCAGGACTGGGGTGGGGGCACTCACCATTGCCTGCGGGCAGCCAGGGCCAGCGAGGAGGGAATTAAAGGTCGTTATTAGGAGCCATTTCACAGCAGAAGGAGTGTCCCCGCTTTGTCCCCTGCCAAATCCCATCAGGACAAGGCAGCAGCCCCCACCTCCTCCCTTCCACAGTGCCCACCCCACTGCCACCCGCAACCCAGCATCCCGAAACCCCGACACCGACACAGCACAGCAGAAGCATCAGCAGGTGCCCTGAGCAGGCTGGGGACAAGGGCAGCGAGGGGGAGCAGCGGGGTGGGACGGGGCAGGGGGCTGGGGACAGGATAGGGGACACCCTGGAGGTGGAGGAAGGAGGCGAAGGTCACCTAATTCTGGGCACAACGGGTGTCTGGTTTCCAAAATCGCCGTCTTTTGTCACCAGAGGTGACAGCAGGGGGACCCTGTGCATTGCAGGGGCTGGATGGGACCTGCGGTGCCCAGCGAGGGGATGGCACAGCCCATCAGGATGCTGGGGAGGAGAGCACGGGGTCCAAAATCCAGCACTCCTGCAGCACACGGGTCCGTCTGCCTGGCACCATCACCTGCCCGAGCCCTGGGGACCGCAGGTGGCTGGGACAGGAGGGGACTGGGGACACGTCCTGTGCTCTTGTGGCACCTGGCAAAACTCAGGAAACCAGACGCCTCGGGCTGATGCTTGGTGTCGGGGCCCTGCAGCTCCGTTAAAGAGAAGCACCCTTGGGTGGGGAGAGCCCGGCCATGCCGTCCTCACAGCCCCCACCCGCGGTCCTGGGCCAGGAGCCCCCAAATCAGCCCAGGGACCCCCTCCCCACCACCACCACCACCACCATCAGGAGCAGAGGCTGCTCGGCGGGGCCGGCTGGCAGCACCCAAGGGTGCTCTCCCTTTAACCCCTCGGCCCGCGCTCACCAGATCGCTGACTAGAGGGAGAGATTTGCGTCCGGGCTTAATGTCGGGCATGCTGTTAATGCAGCGCAGAAACCTTACCGCCGCCCCCCTGCAGCCGGGGGCGGCCAAGCCAGGCCGGAGGAGAGAGAACAGAGAACACAAAGCGAGTTAGAGGCGGCCGGGGAGCGGGGGCGCGGGCGGCGCGGTCCAGCGGGAGCGAAGCCGGCGGCTGTGGGGTGCAAGGCGTTACGGGGGGAACCTCACCAAATCGCTAACTAAGGGGATGGGTTTTCGCTTGCGTATGTCCGGCATGCTGTCTATAATGATCAGCCCGCCGCCAGGCCTGCAAGAGAGAGGAAAGTCAGCGGGGAAGGGGGGAAACTGAGGCAGGAGGGGACCCCCCACACACACACACGCTCCTGGGGCCAGGCTGGAAGGCGCGGGGAAGTGGGGGGGCTGCTGGAAAGCTGCGGCTTGCCCCACGGTGAGCCGGTTTGCTGCAGTGGTGCGGAGGGAAATGGAGTGAAAAAACAGCCTTTGGGGGCTTTTCGGGGCGGAGCGGGGCTGCCTGTGAGGGTGAGGTGGGGGCTCGGGGTGCCCCGTGGCATCGCTCAGGTCCCGGACAGCAGGAGGGATGCGGGAGCTGCTGGCTCTGTGCCCCCTGTCCCACTCACCTCCTTGCTGTCCCCTTGGTGGTGCCTCTTTGGGGACACAGCGGCAGCCGGGGACATCTCCAAAAGCACCAAACGACCATCTTCCAGCCCAAAAACCCGGCCCCCAGCTCATGGGGCCAACACCCTCACGGCTCTCCCCAGCCCCACAAATCTCATCCCATCCTACAGTCGGCAGGAGGGGCCAGCCCCGCGCCCCCCCGGGTACTCACCCGCCTTTGAACCACAGCGATTTAGCTTCTCCATCGCCTTCCCCGCGGGCCTGCAAAATACAGGGGGGGCTGTGAGCACCCGGCAGCTGGTCCTAAAAGGATGGGGCTCTACAATAGCTTCGAGAGGCTGAGCAGGGTGAGAGGAGGCCAAACATGGCCCCGAAAGCTCGGTGGTGGAGTCGGGTGGGGGCGGCTGCACCGTGCAGAACCACAGCTTTTGGGGAGTGGGAGCAGCACTCGAGGGCACAGCAGAGCTGGAGCTGAGGGAGATGGCAGGGAAGGGGGTGTGTGCAGGGACCCCCGGGGAATTTTTTTTTTTGGGGGGGTGAAAAAAAAGGAGGAAAGAGCCAATTCTTCCTCCCTCGCGGGGCAATCCCTGCACACACGCACGCACACGGGGAAGGCGCGCACGGAGCGGGGCCGGTTCCTTTCGGACATGCTTACCTGCAGGCGGGCTACAGCCCTCCCCTGCGGGCAGGGGACACGCGGGCGCAAGGGCCATGGTGGTGGAGAACTGAAAAGAGAAGCGGCAGGGAGGGGGACTGAAGCCCCGTGGGGTGAATCCAGAGCCAAAAACAAAAAGAAAAGATGGAGGATGGAGTCTAAAAACAGAACAAAAAAGTGTCAGCGCAACGCAGGGGACGGGGCGGAGGGGCTGGCACCGGCATGCAGCACACACACGGGGAAGGTCCTCAGCGCTCCCTGCCCCTCGTGGGGCCACCGACGGGCTGGGGACAGCCAGGGTCCCCGCTGCCCTCGAGGTGCGGGTCGCCACGGGGCGGGCAGCGGAGGTGCCAGGCAGGGCTCGCCGTGCCGTGCCGTGCCGCGGGGACGCTCACCTCCTGCAGCTGCAGGCAGACCTTGTTGAAGGCTCTCAGCCAGTTGGCCTTGGCTCGCGCTTTGGGGTCCTGCACCTCCGCCTCCGCCGGCTCCCTGCAAGGACACACAGCCCAGCTCACCTGCCCGCACGGCACCGGGACGCGGGCAGCGGATGAGGTTTAGGGGTCCCAATGGGTCCTGAACAAACGTGGCCATGGCAAATGTCACTTTCCTACCAGGGAGGGCTCTGCAGTGGTGGCAGGTCCCAAATAAAGGGCTCACGGCACAATGAGGAGAAGCCAGAATCCCCTCACCCTTAGGGGACCCTGCCCCGGGCACCCAAGGGAGCTGGAGGGCTTCCCACCACACCAGGGCTAGGAGCAGGCGGATGCGCCCAGGGATGAATTTCCAGCCTGGACGTGCTGATGGGGTTGTTTTCCTCCTCTCTTTGTAAAATCCAGAAAAGGAGGAAAGGAAGAGAACTGCTCCCAACCTCCCAGGCTCCTGGAGAGCCCGGTGTGAGGTGGCAGCGGGGCTGGTGCCTGGATGAGGCCACGGGGAGCTGGGGACACCCTGCGGGACCTCACCCGTGCTTATCGGTGGTCCCCAGTGTGGGGCCACCCAGTGGCTGCCAAAAAACGGGCCCTGCAGGCAGACCTGAACCGACGGCACCTTTGCTAGGGCTCTCGCCAGCCCTTGTGCCTAAAAAGACTTTTTTCATGCAAAAAAATCACTGTGCCTTCCTTTAAATCAGAGCTTCCCCAGGTCCAGTCTATAATTTAAACCAAATAAAAGACCAGAAAGCTTCCCCTCTGCGCGGAGCTGTTGTGCTCACCGAACCACGGCAAAATGGGAGCGTTCAGAAACTGAAGGCAGCGACCGGCACCTGAATTATCCACGCGCCGTGCCAGGGACTCAGCCACCTCCACCTCCCCTGTGCAGCACGGGAGGCCACGGCCGAGCTTTCACCAAATTCCCTCCTCTGACCGTGCTGGTGCCCAGCTGCTGGCTGGGGCAATCTCCAGGCAGGGGACACAGGGGTGACAGCAGAGCCACCACGGCCGGTTTGGAGTTTCCAGAGCATCCCCACGGTGCCATCCCCGTGCCACCCCAGGACAAAATCACCCTCCTACCTCTCAGCTGGTTTGGGGGGCTCAGGCTCGGGCTCTGCCTCTGGCAGGGGGGCTTCGTCCCCAACCCGCTGGGCCTCCGGGGTCTCTTGTGGGACAGAGGTGTCCTTGTCCTCCTTCTTCTCCTCTTTCCTCTCCTCCTTCCTCTCCTGCTGCTGTGGCTTCGCCTGCGGGACCAGCTGGGGCTGCTGGGGCTGCGGGACCTGCTGCTGCTGCTGCTGCTGCGCCTTCTGCATCGGGGGGTAGGCGTCGTGCTCGGGGGCTTCGTAGGTGCCCGGCTCCCGCAGCTCTTCCTCCTCTTCCTCCTCCTCTTTGGGGTAGCCTTCCTCATTCTCGCTGTAGTCCTCGTTGAACTCCTCCTCCTCCTCCTCCTCCAGGTAGAGGTCGTCGTCCTCATCCTCCTCCCAGCGCGGCGAGTCCTTGCGGTAGCTGACGGAGCTGTGGCAGGAGTGGTAGGAGTCGCCGTCCCGCTCGTCCAGCTCCGAGTCCCGCAGGCTCTCGTTCTCGAAGTCCTCGCTCAGCTGGGAGCTGCCCTGGCTCAGCTCGGCCGACGAGGCGTAGCGGCTGCTCCCCGTGGGGCTGCGGGGCGAGGGGGGACAAGGACGGGGTTCCCGTGGGTCCGTGCCACGGCACCGCCCGCCCCGCGCCCCCTTGCCCCCCAAGGACCCCGCGGCAGCAGGGCTGGATGGGGTTGGCGTGGCGGGGGCTCCCCCGGGACGTGCCCCTGGGTGGGCACCGGGCTCCTCGTCCTGGTGGTCGAAGGCACGAACCCAAGGCTGGGACCGGACCCCCAGGCTGGTGGGGAGTGCTGGGGGGGGGGGCAGACCTTCGTGGCTGTCCCCTGGGCTCACCCCTGCCAAGGGTGGGGGCACAGCGTGGCAGGGTGGCACCCACAGCCAGCTCTGGCCTCCTGCCCCCCCTCCTGCAAAATCTGCCCCCCGACCCCATCCCTGCTCTCCTGCACCCCTTACTGATGCCCCCTCCCCACAGACACCCCCTGGGGTCCCCTCTCCGCTCTTGTTGTGGGGCCAGGCCCTTTCCACCGCCCCCTTTCCACGCTGCCCCCTCCTCTCGCTGCTGCCAGCACCCATGGGTGCAGCAGGGCGGGGGGACTCCTCGCACCCCAGGTGCTGCTGGGGACGGGGTGGCCCGGTGGCCGCGGGGACTCACAGAAGCACACATGCAGACAGGACAGGGACAGGGACATGCCTAGGAAGAGGCCGACACCACGTCTCCAGCCGGGGCGAGGGGTGGGCGAGGGGGACACGGGAAGGGGTCGGGCAGCGCCCTGGGGAAGGCAGGGAGCCAGCAGGAGGATGGGGACACGCTGCGGGGAGCGGGGTGCCGGGGACACCCAGGGGTGCTGGGGACACCCAGGGGCGCAGGCATCATCTGGCGACAGAGGGGTTCCTCGGGGAAGGGGGCTGGGGGCACAGGGGTGCAGGAGACATGGCTCATGCCTGGAAACCCGGCCTGACCCTGGCCCGAGGGGGGGCCCTGGGCGAGTCTCAGGGTCCCAAATCACTGCGGGGGGGTTTTGCCTGGCGAGCTGTAGCAGCGTGGGAGGCAGGTCGGGGACGCAGGCGGCCCTCGTGTCCCCGTGGCACCGGCTCCCGCGCCGCGATGGGGACCCTGATCGCTGCGCCCCGACACAGGCACATCCCCACCGCCGGCTCCGGCACAGCAGCAAGAGGGGCGAAAATACCCCCCCCCCTCCCTTTCCTCCTCCCCCCCACCTCGGAGCATCCCAAGGCTGCTCCCGTGCTGGGGGGACCCCACGGCGGGGCGCGAAGCCGCCCTTGCCGGGACTGGTGTTGGCCTCACCGCGGCTGCAAGGAGCGACCACAGCACTCTGCGACGGCACACGGCACGCGACGAGGACGCGACCCACCTATCCGATAGGTCTAGGGACCGCCTGCTCTCAAGGGAAGGCTGGCGGCTGGTCCGCCTGCTCGACGCGGAAGCGGACTCAGCGTCGTTTGCGGCAGAGTCTACGCTACCGTAGCGTCTGCCGGGGAGGAGAGGAAGACGATGGTGAGCGAGGTCCCGGCGCCGCGCCGCCGCCGCCTCCGCCACCCGCCGTGCCCCAGCATCTCCCCCCGCCGCTGCGGGGACGTGGGCTCGGGGGGGGGGGCTCCGTCCTGGGGACGGGGCTGGCACCTTGTGCTGGCGGGGGGCTGTGACCGTGTGGCTCGTCCCCCACCTGCCCTATGGCCACGGCTGCGTCCCCGGCTCGCTCATGGTTTGGGGACACCACTGGGGACGGGGAGAGTTGACCCAAGCGAGCTGGAGAACTCCGCGGTCCCCAGTGAGGAGAGGCTCGGGGGCGGCACCGTCCCCCTCCTCCTCCTCGCCTCTCCATCGTCCCTCCGTCACCCTTAACGTCCCCGGTGCCACCCCGCTGGCCTCGGCCACCCGCGGGAGGGTGGGAAGAGGAGGCTGAGGTGGGCGCCGGCCGCCCGGGGCGCTACCTGATGGGCCGCTGGTCCGAGTAGTCCAGCTCGTAGCTCTGCATGGAGTCGGTGTAGGAGTCGCGGGAGCTCTGCTGCTGGTGCCGCATGGGGTACTGGTGGACCGAGGCGTTGGGCTGCGAGGTGGTGTAATAGGGCGGGGGGATGCTGTTGCTGGTCTCGCTGCGGTAGTCGCTGTCCCGGTCGTCCACCGTGCTGTCGGGGTCGTCGTCTGTAAGGGGACGCCGTGAGCGGGATGGGTGTGGGGGGGGGTACCCCGAAACCGCGCGTCCCCACCGCCGTGGGAGGGTGCAGGGAGCAGGATGCGGGGAAGGGGGCTGGGGGGCTGCGTGGGACCCCTCACAGAGGGGATTTGGGGGCGAGGGGAGGGTGTGTGTCCCGTTCCAGGGACATCGGAGGGGGAACAGGATACGTGGAAAAGGGGAGAGGAGGACTGGGGTGCGGGGACCCCCCTGCACCCTCAGGATGCTCTGCCACGGAGGCAATGCCTGAGCTGCTCGTCGCCCCCCCCGCAGCCTGAGGGGACAGAGCCTCGTGTCCCCACCAGCCCCTGGGGACAACCTGGGGACAGGGCGCTCGGTGTCCCCGTCCTCGCCCAGCACAGAGCCACCAGCGGGACCCCAGCCCAGGCTGTGGTCAGGGTGAAGGGGACGCCTTGGGGACCGTGGGGCTGGAAGGCGAGGAGGGGGCGGGATACTCACTCTGCTGCTCTCCCCAGCCAAAATAATTCCAGTTGCCTACAAAGAAAAGGGGCAGAGGAAATAAGGATGGAGGCGGCTCGGGGGGGGGGCACCGAGCTGGGCTGGGGACAGCGCCAGGGCTGGGCACTGGCCCCGGAGCTGACTGCAAAGAGGGAAACTGAGGCACGGGATGGGACAAAGCCAGGCTGACCCCTGGGACCCCCACTCAGAAGCCCCCCCGCCAGCCCCCAGGCTCCCCTTGCCACCTCCAAGCCCCCCCTGCCCCTGTCCCCCACGGCTCAGCCCCACGGGGGGGGGTCCCACGCAAGGGCGACAAAACAGCAGCAGAGAGGGGAGGGACGGAAAATGGACAGGGACAGGGACAGGGACAGGGACAGGGACAGGGACAGGGTGTGGGGTGAGGTTGAGCCCCCCTTGGGTTGGGGTCCAGCAGCCCCGAGCCCACTGCATGGGGGGGGGGGGACAGGATAAAGGGGGGGGCACCCAGGGCAGCACTTACAGCACTGGGAGCCGGGGACGGGCAGCGGCTTCTCCTGCTCCTCCTGGAAGGCGTACTGGGGGGGGGGGGACAGCGGGTGGTGAGGGCTGCCCGTGCCCCCCCCAGCCCTGTCCCCCCCCCTAACCCCCCCCACTCACATCGTCCTGGTCCCGCATGGCGTTGAGCTGCTCCAGCTTCTTGGCCCAGTACCTCGCCTCCTCCTCGGGGATATCTGCAAGGGGAAAAAAAAAACCAAAAAAAGCTCAGATCCCCCCCAAAAAGCAGGTGGGGGGGCTGCAGGATCGGACACCCCCTGCCCCCCCCCCCTTTCCCCGGAGGAGGGTGCAGCCCCCGGGGGTGGCACCCACCCAGCGGCAGCTCGAAGCGGGTGTCGAGGAGGATGCGGTGGAAGGTGGGGTCCTTGGTGCCCGAAATTTCGTTGTCGGTCATGATGACCTGCGAGTCCAGCGTCAGCCACTCCCCGGGACCCTCCTGTTTGTTTTTTTTTTTGGGGGGGGGGGAAAAATCAGGGCTCAGGGGGGGGCACCGGGGACACCCCCGGCCCCTCGGTGACCCAGGCGCCCAGCCCTGGTGCGGGGACACCACGAGGGGCCAGCACCCAAAGGGGGGCTCCCGGTGACCCCAAATCACAGGGGTGCAGGGATGGGGGAGCCACCCATTGGGGGGGGGGGTCTACTGTGTACATTTGGGGTGCCGGGGGGGGGGGGGGGGGCCCTACCTCGTTGGACTGCCGGATGGTGCGGAGGGGGATCCACACCGTGCCCACCATGGTGTCCCAGATGAGCCCCTTGTTCCACACCTCCACCGTCAGCCCCAGGTCCAGCCGGTTGATTTCACTGGGGGGGGGGGGGCAGGAAAAAAAAAAAAAGGGGGTCACCCCCACCCCAATCCCACCCCCGAGCCCCCTCCCCAGCCCCCCAGAACTCAGCCGGGGCTGGGGGCAGGGGGAGCAGCGGCGGGGAGGGACCGGGGGGTCCTTATGGGGGCCGCAGGGAGGGGTGGTGGGGGGGGGATGGGGATGGGGGGGGGGTCCCGTTTGGGGGTGCCCCCCCCCCGGGACACTCACAACATGAAGTCCTGCTCCCAGGCGGGCAGGTTGCCCCGCACCGCGATGGTCGTGCTCTTGACATTTTGCACCTTCAGCGTCACGTAGGTGTTGAACTTCTCTGCGAGGGCAAGGGGGGGGGGGTGAGGGGACCCCCAGTGTGTGCCCCCCCCCCGACCCCACCCCAAACACCCCCCCCCCCTCCCGCTGCTGGGGTGGCCTGGCCGTGACCTCCCCCCCCCCCCAATTCCATCCAGGGCACCCCCAGCCCTGTCCCCCCAAAGATGTCCCCAGGGGTAAGGCTGAGCCTGGGGTCCCCTTGTGCCCCCCCCCCCAGCCAAGCCCCCCCCCGGGCGGGGGGCACTCACCTTGGGGCCCGTCGAACTTGGCCTTTTTGACTGCAGGGACAGAGACAGAGGGAGGGGGCTCAGCCAGGGGTGGGGGCTGAGGACCCCCCCCGAGGCTGCCAAGTGGGTGGGGGGGTCCCCAGGTCCTGTCCCCCCCCCCCCATGGCAGCCAAACCCCAAGACAGGGGGGAGGCGGTGGGACCCCTCCCCAGCAGAGCCCCCCCCACCCCAAAAAGAAAACCCACAGAAGGTGTGGGACAAGCGATGGCAACCCAAAATGAAGCAGCCTTCATTGTCTGGGGGGGGGTCCCAAATTTGGGGGGGGGGTCCCAAATTTGGGGGGGGGTCCCCCTATTGAATCTGGGTCCGTTTTGGGGAAATATCACCCCATGTGAGCAGGGTCAGCGCCCCCCCCAAGCCCCCCCCCAAGCCCACCCTGCAGGCGGCCACCGACCCCCCCAGCCAGGAGATGGGGAGGGGGGGGTTCATGGATGGGGGGGGGGGGGATTTCCACCCCCCCAGCTGGGACGTGGGGGGGAGCTGGGGGGGTCCCCAGCGGTGTCCCGGGGGTGGCAGGAGGGGACGTGGGGGGGGGGGCAGGATGACACAGCACCCGCAGAACGGGGGAATGACGCGGGTGGCAGCGGGCGGGGGGGGGGCAGCGGGGGGGTGGCGGTGGGGGGGGGGGAACAACGTGACCGGGAGGGATGAAAATAGCCCTGGCGCCATCCGAGGCGATTGCGGGGGCCACGTGCCCGGGGGGGGGGCAGGGTCAGGGGGACACGGGGGGGGGGGGCACGGGGGGGGGCACGGGGGGGGGGGCGGCCCCTGCCTGGCTTGGGGGGGGGAAATCGGGGGGGGGGGGGCAGCACGTGCACCACGGGGATGTGGGTGCTGAGGGGGGGGTCACGGTGTGGCCTGGGGGGGGCTGGGGGGTCCACCCAGGCACCGGGGGGCATCCAGGCCTCCGCCAGCCGCTGCCTCCGAAATGGGAGAAAAACCCCCAAATATCCGGGAATATTTGGGGAAAGCTCCAAAAATCCCCGAGAACCCCCAGGGGAACGCGCGGCCCCCCCCCGGCTGTCATCTGCCACCATCTGCGGCCCCCCCCCCCCCCGAGCCCCCCAAAGCAGGACCCCCCAGCTCCTTTGGGTGCCGTGGGTGGCCGCAGCCCCCTGGGAAGGGGGGGGGCGTGGGGGGGGGACACGACACATTTGGGAAGCGGGGGGGGGGGCGCAGAGGTGGCACCTCCGCCCCGTGGCCCCAGAAATAGGGTGACAGGAGGAGCACTGCCGGGGGGGGGCCGTGTGTCACCGTCCTCCCCCGGGTGGCACCCCCTGGGACAGCCCCTCCAGCACGGCCCCCCCCGGGAACCCCAAAATCTGGGGGTACCCCAAATCTGGGGGGGGGCGTAGGGGCTGCCCTATAGCCGGGGGGGGCACACGGGGACATGTCTCCCCCCCCCCAGGAGCTGCTCCCTGGGTGCTGCGGGGGCTGGGACACATGGGGGGGGCACGGGGGGGCCCCCCCAATTTCCCCCCCCCCAATTTCCTCCTCAACGCTGGAGGGGGAATCCCAGTCCCTCTGTGCCCCCCCCCTTGCTCCTCCCAGTTATTCCCAGTATGGCGTGACCGGCACCCCCAGTTGCCCCCCCCCCAGCACCCAGCTGCCCTCCTGCTGCCCTGAACCCCCCGGGAGAACCCGGCCCCCCCACGGTGGGGTGGGGGCATGGGGGGGAATTAGGGGCTGGGGGGGGGAAATGGGGGGGTAATGGGGGGGTAATGGGGTGGGGGGCTGTTTGGGGGGTATTAGGAGCTGGGGGGGAATGGGGGTGTAATTGGGTGGGGGGGTGTATTGGGGTGGGGCTGTTTGGGGGGTGGGGGAAAGATGGGGGGTGGGAACGGATGGGGGGTGGGAATGGGGTTTGGGGGTAGGGGGGGTGGGGCTGGGGCTGGGGAGGCATGGGGGGGGCATTGGGGCTGGTGGTGTAATGGGGGTGGGGCTATTTGGGGTTCGGGGGGGGCTTGGGAGGGGGGGTCGGGGGTGGATGGGGGGGGGGGGGGGGGGATGGATGGGGCACATCCGGGGTGGGGGGGCTTTGAGAATGGGGGGGGGGGAAATGGGTGTGGGGGTGTTGGGG